GTCTAACAAAAGTAGTGAAGTCTTTCATTAAACTATGTACTACAGCTCTATAAAATGATAACAAAAGAAAAATAAATTTTCCCATTGTTTAGGAAAGGGAAAAATATTTTACTTCTTCAAAGAATCATTGTTTTGCTATTCTATTTTTTGTTTTCCTCTATAATATGAATCATTATTTTTTTCTATTTTGTGAGACTTTGTTGAACCAGTTCTTCAGTAATCATTTACAAGATTGTAAAAACATTTGTTCTGTTAAATGCTTTCACAAAATATATCATGCTTGACAGAAATTATCTCAGAGACACTGATGCAAGGGGAGGGTAGGAGTTGGAGTCAAAAGGCTCTGGGAGAGGTAACTGCCAGTGAAGTGCTGCTTTCTGCTCTGAGGTTAAAGAAAAATTAATCCCTAAGTCCCCACATGCCCGTGTTTAAGGAGCAAAGATAATGATTCAAGTAACTAACAAAGCGAGTTTGTAGTGGAAGGCAACTGTAAGTCATAATTCACTAGTGCTTTTCAATGCCTGATAATACACAGGACTCAGAAGTAGAAGATGACAGATTGATTGTTAAATGAAAAGCTAGAGGCTTTGATTACTTGAGTGAATAAAAATAACATGCTGGAGAATATACCATCTTTGATTACTTATAATCCATGTAAATATTGGTGCACACAAATGTTCATAGTCACTCAACTTTGTGTCACGTGTTTTTCTCCATGCCAGCAATCATGCAACTAGTTGAATGAATGCATTCTGAGGCAGTACAGCCACTATTTGTTGATAGAGTTTTCTATTTTCTATCAAGTTCATCTCATGTTTGGATGATTTTTGTCAAAAACCTGGGTCCTGAAATAAATGGTAGGAAGAATCACATTTGAAGATGAGGTTAATGCAAGCTGACTGCATGAATGAGTAGAACTTTAGAGAAAGATCATAATAGATTCTTTACCATGGGAGTCCAAAAGATTCTTCAATTAGATTTAGTAAATTTACCAGTGGTAGATTATTTGCAGCCTAGCTGCAATTATTCCTTTCCATGAAGCTATTTTTGTTTGCTAATGCAAGTTTGGAGTTCCTTGCATGAAGAGGCGGAGTCTGTTTCAGCACAATGTAAATCAGGTTTGTTTTATGACAACTTTCATCAATAGAATATGGAAAAATAATGCTGCACAAGTTGTAAGCATAGGCCTTCAGAGACCTCATGAATTGCTGTTTTCTCTCTTGAAACTCTTTATGACCTGTGTGTAAATCTGAGTAACCTTCTGGAAAAGGAGAAACCACTTGCATCAAGCTGACTTATTCCAATTCTGTTGTCACCGTAGACTAGTGAGACCCTATCTGCCCTGCCAGCTGACTGTAGATGCATGAGTAAAAACACTAGATGAGCTACTGAAATCATCAGAGATATAAACATTGATAAATGCTTAAAGCCTAAGCTGCTAATTTTGAGATGATTTGTTACTCAGTAAAGACTGATACATTACATAATAACAATTTATTTCTTAATACTGCAAGTAGACATGCCATTCTATCTGAGATTTAGGATCTTATAACAGATTTATGTAAATGCTCATCACTTGTTAGTAATGATACATATGTGAATATCTTTGAAATATAATCTGCCTCATAAGCATAAAAATATTCATTTTAAATGTTGATTATAAATTTATTTAACAGAGTGCTTTAGAAATGATTTTAAAAGTCTCTATACCTCTGAAAATTATAAAATATCAGCAGATAAAATTATGTTAAAAAATTCTCATTGATTTTCTATTATAATTATTGGGATAAATTATTGTAACAAAGGCTCTGAAACATGGCAAAATGTTTAGGAATTGATATCTCCCTTTAATGAGGTTATGTATTTATAGAAAATAATATTAAAAGTTTTCTAGTTCTTCTTGAATGGCACTATCTTCAAATGAAACTTTTTAATGGAAAGATATTTTTCTTATGTTTTGCTAAAATTTTTTAGACAAAATATATGCATATAAACAAGCACACATACATACATGCATATATACATACAAGTATGAAAATATATCTGTAAATAGATATACATATATATATGTAATATTGCATACCTTTAATATTCTACAAGCTCTCAATATAATCCCAATCACTGCAATAATTTTAATCATGTTCCTATAGCTGAAGTTTTCTTCTATAATAGACTTTGTTTCTTATGGTTGAGATGATTTGCTAATTGAAAACAATTTTCCTTATTTCAAACTATTTTTGTCTTTTATTAAATTTCACAAAATATTAAATAACTTTTCCTATATTACTAATATTCCAGGAGAGTATCCACAAATATAATTATCATGGAAACATCTCTTTACTTTATAATGATACAATATAAAGTATTGATATGAAGAAAGAGTCCAAAGAAACTAATTGTGAAGTTATATATACTTACTATGTTATGTTTTGAAACCTATAATTTTAATTTAGTTGAACTAGAATTGTATATTACATGCCTAATAACATGTTTCATACATTTAGGGAAGTGCCACATTTTAACATGGTACCTTAGAATATTTAAAACTAAATATATTTTTTAAAATTTCATATTTACAAGCAAAATAGTGGTTTCCATAGGTCTGCTTGTTCTATATTTTTATGAATACTAGAAGATAAACTATATACTATGATGAATAGTAGTGATTTCATATTTCAACCAGAAATCATTCATGCTTCATTTTCTTACTATTGCATTTAAGCCATTACATCTTACCCAGATGAGATGATTATAATAATTTATAGGACAGAGTGTTTTTACATTTGGACATTTTTGTCAATCATCTTTGGTAAATGTCCAAAATGTTACAATAAAGTCAACAGAGATTGAGTAGAAAATGTTTTCCATTGGTTTACTTGATTCTTAAAAGGTATTATAAATATCTGTGTCCGTTTATTCCAATACCTAGATATCTAATTAAAAGAACAACATTAAAATGTACAAAAACAAACAAATAAACGAAAAAGGATAGGACAAAAAAAAAAGGAAAAGAAGCCTCAAATCAGGTATCAATCAGCAAGTGGCTGCATTTTTTGAGAAGTTGTTTAGTTTCAGCATAACCTCCTAAGGATAACTTTATATCCTGTATAATCTCATTAAATCAACAAGTTACTTGGTGATCAAGAAGAACAAAATATAATTGTTCTAATAGAAAAACTGGAAGCAAGTATTAGCAAAATAATTTAATTTGAATTTTCTATTTTTATAATATATTCTATGAAGTATAATTACCCATCAATAAGAATAGGACTGTGTGTCTCCATGATAATCACCATTAGATTAAACTCAAAAAGAAAATGAATTGTAATGCAAAAAAATAAAAATAAAATAAGAGAGCTCATGTATAATGGCACAATGTGGCATGAATATACTTTATATACAGAGTTACAAAAAATTGTGCTGTGAATGGATAATTATGAGTGTAATGCACTCCACTATTGTTATGTACGTAAGAAATAAAAAAAAGAATGGATGAATGAATAAATTAAATGAGGATAATGCATTAAAAAAAAGAAAAGAAAATGCAGAATTTGCTTCCCAATGGAAAACTGAGGTCATTTAATAATTCTCCATAAAATTTGCCTATAATCTCTTGTATGTAGGGGCCTTAATGAGTACAATATATTCAAGTAACTCTAGTTGAAATAGTAGTTGCTTTTAATTGCAACAGAAGTATAATGTGGTCCTAATTAATAACATTGCTAATCCTATTTTCTGCATTTGATGAAATATCCTCTGTAGCTAATACACATATTTCACATGTGACATTATAGTAGATCATAATTATTAAGGCATGATCATCATCAGCCACAATACTTTGTAGGGTCTATTCTTGGTAGCTTAAATATATTATATATAATCCCCTAAAAATCCCATGTCAAGTAGTAGATTAAGACATTTGTATTTGCAAGGTTAAATGTCATTCAGAGAAGTAAACAGCAGGTTTTAGGCTTATGGACTAGGTCCCTAGATGGTTTTAAAGCCAGTGAAATTCCACTGCACTTTCATTATTGGTAAGTCCTGAGGGAGATCACAATAGTCCATCCCAAATATTTCTTTGATATATTCAAGTTGGCTACTCAGAGAAACTGCAAACACAAGCATGGCTCTGACATGCTGTCCTTCCATAAAAATAAATTTAAATAGGTCTATATGAGTGAACAGCAGACACAGACAGAAATTTTTCCAACTGATGGCTCCCTCTCTGCCTAGAGAAGATCTTTTCATAGGAACAAGAGATTGGGGGTCTAAGACTTGACACAAACAAATGACCACAGCCATGTCTTCTGATGACAGCTACAGGAGAGACTTTATCTGCCTAACGAAATATTTGTTCACCTTGTATTATTCTTCTCCACCTCCCATAGATTGTTGCCACCCATCCTTCAGGGGCTACAGGTCCCTATTTCTTTGTACACTCAAAATGTCATTTAAGCTTCCACTACCTAGCCCTCCTGTGAGTCTCCCTGTGTGGGGGTGAGTCCTGTGTTTTGGCACAGGAGTTTTTTTTTTTTTTTTTTTTTTTTTTTTTTTTTTTTTCTTCTGTTACTCTACTATTGCTTGATTTCATTGACGAAAATTATGGAAACTTCAGAGGGAAAAGAGAAAAATCAAGTTCCCTACAGTCCTTGCTGTGCTATGGCAAAAGCAGCACTGTTGTCAAATGTTTGAAATACAAAGAATGGTTAGGAATGGCCCTTGCCTCTAAGAACTTGTACCCTAATTGTGCAAACAAGGCACATACATAAGAAATACCAACATAAGAGGACACATCAGAATTGTTTTTGTGGGAGTAGAAGGAGGTCAGATCCCCACTACAACAGACCGTAGCGGAAGTTAATAATAGAGGATGCTGCACTTCACACTGTATTAAATGATTGCTTCCAGACATCTGTCTAGAGTACAGGCGGGGGGTGGGTGGGGGAGAAAGCATTACATACTTAGAAATAAATAGCAGGCTGGGAAAACTGCCTGGCTGGTCAAATATGAACTGAGGTTCTCAATGTATAGCTTCTTACCTTTCGGTCATATTCAGCTGGTCCAACTGGTTTGTCTTCACTTTTGGGAGCCTCAAAGACACTCCTCAGCTCATCAAGGGCAATGGAAAAGCGCTCAATCCTGCGTCGACTGGTCAGGGAGTCCTCCTTCAGCACTTCAGGACGGCTGTGTTCCCTGGAGTGGTCACTTTTGTGCTCAGGCCCCTTCTCTCTAGGCTCTGTACTCAATGTCTCTTCCTGTGCTCTGCAAGGCAGTCTTGAGGGATGGAGAGGTTCAGGTGCTGATGGCTCCTCTCCTTTGGGCTCAAGCAGTTTGCTTTCCCGAAGCTGCAAGAGTCTGCAGCGGCTGCCTTCAGGACAACACTCACTTCTCTGGTAATCACTGGATTCCCATTTCTGCCTCAGGAGGTTCAGGGAGCCCTTCTGAATTGGAAACGGGGGTGGCTCTAGGTTGTCCTGCAATGTCAAGAGATTTTTTTTTTATTAAAAATGTGCTCAAACATCTTAGTCACTTTCAAGACACCCCTTTCAGTAGTACCAAGTCTTGCTATATGATATCTGGCTCCTGACTTGACCCCAAAGGTTATGCCAGTTAAACTAGAATAAAAACATTATTAGGGGAATGATTTATACAGATGTGGCAATTTAAATAAAGAGACAGGATTTAGGAAAACATGATTTTCTTCCTTTCTCTTCTATGTGAAATCAGCCTTGATAATTCATTGTTTAGTATACTCTGATAAAAGGGCAATTTATGAAAAAGGCAATGAGGCAAAAGGGGTCATTCCTGCCTGTGTCAGTTTAGGATTTCTTTTGGAATTATTGGTTTCTGCAAATATCTTACTTCAGAAATCATAGTCTAATAGCTAACAGTTATTAAGTTTTTGCTCTAAGGCAAAAATTTTAATAGTAACTCTATATGCACACCCCAGTGTATCCCCAACATTATCACACACAAGTTGGTTCATACTATTATTAACGTTGTGCAGGTAAGAAAATCGAATTGCTTGATAGTTGGTCCAGGGTTCTTACTGACAAAGCCTCGATTTGAAATACATTTATGCAACTAAAGAATCTGCTCTCCTAACCACTGAAGCTTAATGCTTTTTGTACTTTAAGTGCTCAGTTCTCATTCATTGTGAAACTAATTGGAATCTCACCTTGTTTTAGAGTTTTGTAGTGTGTAACAAGAAAAACAAGGGGCTGGGGTTGTGGCTTAGTAGTAGAGTGCTTGCCTAGCATGTGTGAGGCACTGGGTTCAATTGTGAGCACCGCATATAAGCAAATGAATAAAATAAAGGTCCATCAACATCTAAAAACAAATTTTTAAATGGATAAATATACTTTTACCAGAAACATAGGTGTATGCATTCATATACACACACACTTAAATTATGGGCTGCAAAAGTTACATGCTAACATAAACTTTATATATATATGTATGTATATATATGT